TATTATTTTTAATATATTAAATTTAAAGTGCCTATGAGACATGTCCCAGTTGGATATTTTGGTCTAGAGCTTAAGAGATAGCTGTAAATAAGGATTTGGGAGCTATCTGCACATAAATGGAAATTGAAGCCACTGAAGTAGAGAAAGTCTCCACAAAGTATAAGGAAAGGAAGAACTAAGGCTAAGGAACTCCAGGAAAAGGAACTACGAAAGTAACTGGGTAGAGTAGTCAGAGAAGTGAGAAGTATATCAGGGAAAGTGTAGCTAAATTGAAGCCAAAGGAAAAGTGTTTAAAGAAAGAAGGCATTGTAGCTGGGAAATCAAACAAGATGAAGACTGAAAAATCACCCACCAAGTGAGTGCAAAAATGGTTTGAGTAATGGTCAGTGAGGAAGGCATGTTGGAAGAATAGGTTGAGACAAAAAAATGGAGACAGAAAATATACACAATTCTTGAAATATTTAACTAACAAGAATGATTTTAAAAAAAGAAGATGGTATCTGGACAGGAAAGTAAAGCCCAGGGTAAATATCTGTTATTTTCAGGTAGGTGAGATCCACCATGTTTAGCAGATGAAGGAAGGTACCACCCCCAGTGTACCAGGGTTCCCTTTTCTCCACATGCTTATCAACACTTGTTATTTTTTGTCTTGTTGATATTAGCCATTCAGACCAGTGTGAGGTGATATCTCATTGTGGTTTTCATTTTCATTTCCATGAAGATTAGTGGCATTGAACATGTTTTCATTATGTCTATTGACCATTTGTATGTCCTTGGAAAAAATGTCTATTCAGTTCTATTGCCCGTTTTTAAATTGGGTTATTTGTTTTGCTACTGAGTTATATGACTTCCTCACTTATTTTGGGTAACAACTACTTACTAGATATGTGGTGTACAAATATTTCTCATTCCATAGATTGCCTTTTCATTTTGTTGTTGTTTTCTTTGCTGTGCAGAAACTTTTTAGTTTAATATGGTCCCACTTGTTTATTTTTGCTTTTGTTGTCAAATCAAAAATCATTGCCAAGACCAATGTTAAGGAGCCTATCCTCCATGTTTTATTCTAGGAATTTTATAGTCTTAGGTCTTACATTCAAGTCTTTAACATTTGAGTTTGATGTTTATAGATGGTATAAGATAAGGGTAAGATAAAATAAGCTTGTGCTTTTGGTGTAATATCTAATAATCCATCACCTAGTCCAAGACCATGAAGATTTACCCTTGTTTTCTTTTAAAAGTTTTATAGTGCTAGCTCTGTTCATTTGAAAATTCTTACTCGAGTCCCTGCTTTCCAAGATACATGATAGTATATATTTTATTAAAGTTTTATAGCATCAGCTTTAATATTTGGATAATTTTTGTATATGGTGTAGAGTAGGATTCCAACTTTATTCTTTTGCTTATGGTTATTCAGTTTTCCCAGCATCATTTGTTGAAGAGAGGATTTTTTTCCCCAATGAATTCACCAGTGTTGAAAATCAACTGGCAACAGATAAATGGGCTTATTTCTGGACTCTCAATTTTATTCCATTGGTCTATATGTTTATTCTTATCCTATTACCACACTGTTTTGGTGACTATAGCTTTGTAGTGAGTTTGAAATTACAAACTTTGTCCCCCAGCTTTGTTCTTTTTCAAAATTGTTTTGAAACAGTTCCAAAATTCAGGGCCCCTGTAACTATATGTGAACTTGAGAAGTTGTTTTTTCATCCCTGGAAACAAAAAGCTGTTTGAATATGATACAGATTGCATTGAATCTGTAGATCTCTTTGGGTAGCATTGTTATCTTCAAATAGTAATACCCACGAGCACAGGATGTTTTTCTGTTTAGGTCTTACTTAGTATCTTTGAAAAATGTTTTGTATTTTTTAGTGTAAGCCTTTCATCTTCTTGGTTAAATTTATTCCTAGGCACTTTTTCTCTTACATGCTATTATAAATGGAATTGTTTTCAGCTTGTTCATGGCTAGTGTACAAAAACACAACTGATTTTTTTCTGTTTTGATCTTGTACTGTGTGACCTTCCTGAATTTGTTTACTGGTTCTACTAGTTTTTCTGTGGGTCATTAGAGATTTCTACATATAGGATCATGTCATCTGCAAACAGAAATGGTTTTATTTCTTACTTTCCTTTTCAAAGCATTTAAGTTCTTTTTCTTGCCTAATTGCCCTGGCTAGAGCTTCCAGTACAATGTTGAATGGCAATGGTGGAAGTCAGCATCTTTATCTAGTTCCTGATCTTAGGGAGAAAGCTTTCTGTCTTTCACCATTGAGTATAATGCTGGTTGTGGTTTTTTCATAAGTGTCGTTTATCATGTCCAGAAAGTTCCCTTCTATTTCTGGTTTTCTCAGTGTTTTTGTCATGAAAGGGTAGTGAATTTTGTCAAATGCTTTTTCTTCATCAACTGAGATGATTATGTGGTTTTTCTCCTTCATTATATTATTGTGATGTATCACACTGATTTTCTTATCACAATCCACCTTTGCATTTTTGGGACAAATCCTACTTGGTCATAAAGTATAATCTATACTCTGTTCACTAATATTTTGTTCAGGATTTTTGCATCTATATTCATGAGCGATATTGAGCTATAATTTTGTTTTCTTGTAACATTTGTCTGACTTTGCTATGTAGGTAATGCTGGCCTCATGGAATGAGTTAGGAAGTATTTTTCTTCTACCTTTTGGAAGAGTTTGTGAAGGATTGGTGTTAATTTTTCTTCAAATGTTTGGTAAAATCCACCAGTAAAGCCATCTGGTCCTGAATTTTTATTTCTTGGGAGTTTTTTTTTTTTATTACTGATTCAATATCTTTGTTAGAGTTCTGTGAAGATTTTCTGTTTCTTCTTGAGTCAATTTTGGTATCTGTGTTTGTAGGAACTTGTCTATTTCATCTAGATCTACTTTGTTGGCATATTCTCTTATAATCCTTTTTATTTCTGTAAAATAGGTAGTAATGTCCTCATTTTCATTTCTGATTTTGGTTATTTGAGTCTTCTCATTCTCTTTCTTTGTCATTCTAGCTAAATATTTGCCAATTTTGTTAATCTTTTCAAAGAACCAAATTTTTTTTTCATTGATTCTCTTTTTTTCCTATTGCTATAATATTTATTATTTCCTTCCTTATTCTAGCTTTGGGTTTAGTTCACTCTCCTTTTTCTATTTCCTTGAGGTGTAAAGATAGATTAATTATTTAAGACTTTTCTTCTTTTTTAATGTAGGCATTTGCTTCTATAAACTTCCCTCTAAGCACTGTTTTCAATGCACCCAATACATTTGGTATATTGTGTTTTCATTTTCATCTGTTTATAAGTGTTTTCTAATTTCCCTTGTGATTTCTTCTGTGACCCATTGGTTGAGAGTGTGTTGTTCAATGTCCATATATTTGTGAATATTCTAGTTTTCCTTTTGCTATTGATTTCTAGTTTTTTCCATTGTGTTTGGAGAGCATACTTTAAATTATTTCAATTTGTTTAAATTTGCTGAGACCTTTTTACGGCTAACATAAGGTATATTTTTGGCACATGTTCTATGTGAACTTGAGAAGAATATGTATTTTGATGTTTTGGGGTGAAATGTCCTATATATGTCTATTCAGTCTAGTTTGATTATAGTGTTGTTCAGTTTCCTTACTGACCTTCTATTTAGATGTTCAATCCATTATTAAAGGTGGGCATTGAAGCCTCTGTCTGTTATTAGAGAACTGTCTATTTATCCCTTATATTCTTGCAACATTTGCTCCATATGTTTGGGGCTCTTATCTTTAGTAAGTATATATTTATAATTGTCATATCTTCTTGATCAATTGGCACTTTTATGAATATATAATGTTATTCTTTTTATATTGAAAAAGTTTTTGACTTAAAGCTTATTTTGTCTGATATTAGTCTAGCCACCCAGATCTCTTTTGGTTACTCTTAGCATGGAATATCTTTTTATACTCTTTTATTTTTAACCTATTTCTGTCTTTACACCTAAAGTGAATCCTTGGCAGCATATAATTGGATTATGTTTGTTTTTATTCATTTTACCAATCTTGTAGGTGGGAAATTTAGTCCACCTACACTTAAATCATGTAATTACTGATCAGGAAGGACTTACTTCTGCCATCTTGCTGTTTTCTGTATACCTGCCTTTTTTCTCTCTCATTTCCCCTATTCTACTCTCCTTTTGTGTTTGACATTTCATAGTGAACATTCAATTCCCTTCTTATTCCCTTTGTGTGCACTCTCTGCATATTTTCTTAGTAGTTACAAGAGGTATTACATATAATATTGTAAATATATGACTTAGTTTTAATTGATATCAACTTAATTTCAAAAAGCATACAAAACTGCTCCTTTATAGCTCTTTCCCAGCCCTTTTTGTTGTTACCAATTATGTCTTTATACATTGTGTGCCCAATAACAGATTTATAATTTTTAATACAGTCTTTTAATCATGTAAGAAGTTGGAGCTAGAAAGTAAAAATAAAATAATGCTGGCTTTTAATTAACCCGTGTGGTTACCTTTAGATCTATACTCAGACCTATACTTCTTCATATAGCTTTGTGTAACTAATTAGTGTTGTTTTGTTTCAACCTGAAAGACTTCTTTTAGCATTTCATATTGGTCATAGTTACTGGTAATGAACTCCCTTAGTTTTTGTTTATCTATGAATGTCTTAATTTCTCTTTCATTTTTTGAAGGATAGTTTTGCCACATATAGAATTCCTGAATGTCAGATTTTCCAAAAAACTACTGACAAGCATACTTCTGAAGATTAAGCAGACAAAAATCTTCTTGAGAATGTTAGACAGCATATATAAGGGGTCAAAGCACCTGCTCTGTTGTTTGTGTTAGATTATGACTTCAAGCCTCCTAAATTAATTTTTTCCCCCCAGTAATGTTTTAAAAAGAACTGGCACTGAAAATGGGGACTAAAAACTAGCATTCAAAATAAAATTAACTACAAAAAAAACTCAGAAATTAACAATAGAAGAAAAAAGTTAAACCACATACCCATAAAATTATCTGGAAGATTCCTGCCACTCTTGCCATTATGCTTACATTCTCTTGCACAGCTGATTCAAAAGTCTGAAATAAATTCACAGACAAGTCACTAAAAATAATTTAAAAACTGAATTCAAACCTTTTTGCAATGTAACAATTTCAGGTTTGTGATAGAGAATATGAAAACTGTAGACTAGCCTATGAGTATATTCATTCTTTCCAAGATTCCATTTCAATCAGTGATTCTACCTACATGATAGTTCTGACAGCCATTATGCTATGAGCAAATCTGATGCAAAATTTTAGAACAGTCTTAAAAACAAAAATAATTTATTTCTTAAATGAAAGAAACAATAAAAGCTAACAAATTTAGGCTGAGTTGAATCTCAATGTTATAAGTACTACATATGCTGCTGAACAAGTGTATTAGCAAGAGGGAAAATATACATGCTTTTAAAAACTGAAATTAGTTTCTACTTTGTAAAGGACTGTTTCTTTTAGAGGTACACTCAAGTGTGGAAAGATGAGATTACTGATAACTGGGATTGCTTTAAAATAGGAATTGAAACAAATTTTTGAAAACTGCTAAATTTAGTAATGGATCTATGGGTGTCTGCTCTACTAGCCTATTTTTCTGTAAGGTTAAAAATGTTCATAGTAAATGTTGCCATTTGTGACCTGGACGGATCTAGCCAGGGAACTGTGGAGGTGCAATGGGTAAGAGAGAGATAAGTGCATGTGATTTCACTGATACGTGGAATCTAAAAGGATGAAACAAATGAACAAACAGAACAGAAATAGACTCCTAGATACAGAGAACTGGTAGCTGCCACAATAGACGTGGGTGGGAGCACAGACTAAGTGGGTGAGGGAGATAAAGAGGTACAAACTTCCAATTATAAAATGGCTAGGTCACACAGATCAAAAGTACAGCGTAAGAGTAGACTCACAGACAGTGAAAATGGACTGGTGGTTACTATGGGGGAGGGGTTGGAATGGGTGGGTGAGGATGGTGGTGAGCAGGATAAAGCGCAATAAAAATTCTCAGTCGTAATGTAGGTGGGTCATGGGGATAATAGTACAACATGGAGAATATAGCCATTGATTCTGTAACATCTTCCTATGTTGACAGATAGTAGCTATACTACTTGGGGTAAGGACTTAATAATACGGGTAACTGTTGAACCACTGTGTTATTGTGTTGTATACTTGAAACTAATATAAGACTGTATATTAAAAAAAAATACAGTACAGGGAACATAGTCAATGTATCATTTGTATGATGACATCATTTGTATGATGACAGTAACTGCACTCACCGTGGTGAACATTTAGTAATGTATGTAACTGTCGAAGTACAACTGTGTTGTACATCTGAAACCAATACTTAGTATCAACCATAGTTCAATAAAAATACACATAATAAAAAATACTATTGTAATAACTTTGGTGACAGATGATGATTGCACTTACTGTGGTAATATTGCAGTCATACCAATTTTATTTTTAGAACATGTTACTATACTGCATGATTTTGGATAAAGAACAATGTCAGTATAATTAAAGCCTCTGCCTTTTATCTGCTTTCTTATTTACAACAAAGCAAGTGGCAGTTTAAGTCTTCAAACCTTTATCTTCTAATTCATTTTATCATCCATTAAATAAGGTACAATAGCTTAAGCTAAGTTCGTCTTTTTCTGTAAGGTAATTGAAGGTTCTAACTAAACACTTTCTAAAAAAGGGCAGATTCTAAGATCATTACACAACTAAACAGTCTTCTTCCAAAAACTACTAAGAGTCTCCTGAGATATGTCTCTGTTCTTCCCCTGCTCGAAGGAAAGAATAAAAACCAACGTATAAAATAAAAAGAAAAAAAAACGTATACAAATCTGGAATATAGAATCATAACCCAGGGAATGTTTCTTCATTCTTCTTCCACTTAACCTTTATTATTTGCATTGTGATGATTCACAGTCACAACTATGCTGCATTATAAGCTTTAAACTTTTCCTACATATAGATTGTATACTCTTGACAGGCACCAATCCCTCGATTTGCTATCTTTCCTCAGAAAACGATCTTTTTCAAAGCTTGGAAAATATTTAAGAAAAGGAGAAATGCATTGTAAAGGCCAATGTGTGATCTTAGTGAAGATTATAATCAAGACCGCTTCCTTATCTACTTTAGACGTAGGAAAAATGTTTTCTCGCTTTTTACAAGATGTTGTAAAACAGGCTAGAGGAAAAACCAAAAGACTATTCTTGACAAACTTCAAGAATTACCCTTTAATGGAGAATTCCTCAGGGTCTATGTCTGCAACAGGGGAGCCACTGGCCACTTTGTGACTATTTTGGTCTTAAAGAGTAGTCCGAAAGGAAATGAGCTGTTAGCTTGACACACCAGATTTGTAAAGCTTAACACATAAGAATGTAAAATATCTCATTACTTTTTTTTATTACCAGCTGAAACGATATTTCAGAATATCGTGGGTTAAATAAAATATTGAAGTTAATTTCACCAACTTCTTTCTTATTTTAATCTCAAGTTACATACGGAGCTCGCCTTGTATGTTTCTGGACAACCCTAGTGTATGTAATTAATACCCAGCTGACAGTAGCTTCTATTTCGTTCTCGGGCTATTTCGACGGGAGCTTGGGGCACCGCCAAACCGGCCAGTCTGGCGCGGGACCCTCCTGAGACCTGACACCTGGGTGTGCTAAGCGGGCGAGAAGAGACGGCGACTGGGCCCACTGCGCACCTCGCAGCGCGAGCTCCCCAATCTCCTCTGGCAGCGCGTCCCCGACAAGCGGCATGAAGCCGCCGCACGAATCTTCCAGGTCCTCCACGGGCCGCTTCAAGGTGCAGCGCACCCGGACGTCCTCTCGGGGTGGCGGACACCGAGGCCCGGGCGTCTGTCCCGGCTACTCCTTCCACGGCGCGCGGCGGAGACACGGCCACCTACTCCGTAGCTGCCGCCATGTTTCCAGTTTGAACTGTGGGCGGGAACTCTGGGAGCGGAAGGGCGGGTTCCCCTGGGGAAAGGAGCCCGCGTCCGACCGGAAACTCATCCCGCCCAGCAGCAGTGTTCCGGCTGAGACTCAGCGGAGAGCCGCGGGCTGCAGTGGTCGCGGCGACGGGGGCGGAAGGCATCGGGAAGGTGGACTGTCACTGCCACCTCTGCGCCCCGGGCTTTGACTGCATATGTGAGGGCGAGGCCGGGACTGTGGGAGTGGGGAGGACCCTGTGCTTTCTCCTCCTGTTATCTTTGCTTTCTTCCCTTAGGACGAAGCCCCAGATCCTCCCAGGCCCCTATTTAGGGCCCTGAGTGACTTGCTCCTGACTCCCTATTTAACCCCAGTTATATCGACTTTTCTTCCCGATCCTGAATAGCGATAAGCCCTCTATCTGGTCCACACATGTCCGGCAGCTTGCAGGCTGCAGGACAGATCAGTGAAAGAGGCTTCACTCGCCTTTTTTTTCTTGTTTATGGTATTAATATACAATCACATGAGCAACACTGTGGTTACTAGTTTCTGCCCGTTATCAAGTCCCAGTCACATACCTCATTACAGTCAATGTTCACTCGCCTTTTTCCAGACAAAAGGAAGCTGCCAGCTCTCATATGGCTCATCATGAAAAGCCTTTAATTTCTTCAAACAAGTTGTGTAGGCTACACTAGAATATGTAGGCTAGAATAAAAATAGGCTACTCTGCTACCAATGCCCTTCAGGGAAACAGGCTTGATTAAATGTTAAGATTCCTGCACAGGAATGCTGCCTGGTCCTTTGAACTCATGCATGGATCCTTTAAATGATCCCCTGTTACAGTCTTCCTAATTTTATTTCTTTAATTGTCCATAAGGGGTAGTTCCTGATCTAAAAAGAGTCATCAGAAGTACCATTCACCACTTCTTTCTGGGGATGTTTCCTTTTCTCAGTGCTGGGGAAATAAATCCTTACATTTACCATCTGGTTGTGGGTATAGGTGCCACACTCAGCCCTTACAAAACTCAAGGAAAGAGTTAAGCTGCCATGGACAACAAAGGATTGCAGAGGAAGGAAGGGGGTGGTGACTCTGGCAAGAAAAATTGATCTGAGAAATGCGCTGTGTATGTCAATGGAACTGCATGTTCCTTTAACAAATGCATTAAAAAGTTTTGTTTTCTGTGGCCAAGTTTATGTTTTGATACTTTCATTTTTTCAGAAAAGGATGAATATATATTGACCATCAAATTGTTTAGCTCACCTCATTTCACATTCAATGAAAGGAAAGGCCGGGGGCTCTGAGGGAACAGACTTGGACGGGCCCCCTGCCAGACGCCAGGATGACCATGGTTTTCACCGGGCTGCCTCCTGCTGGGCTGTGACGTCACACGGCATGGAGCGCCCGCCCTCCCTCCTCTCTCCTGCCCTCATCTTGGTTGCCTTGCCTTTCCCTGAAGTCTGGCTTGGCATTGCTCAGAGAAAGAGCTTTAAAGGGTTTTGGTCCACGACAGGGGTTCTGGGTTTGAAACTTTTACTTTCTACCAAGAACTAAAATGCTGACTCTTTTCCATCTTTATCCTAATGTCTCCCCACAGGCTTTGAATAAACTTTTACAGGCCAAGCCCACATCAAGTTTTTCCTCTCTTCTCCAGCCCATATTCTTGGTTGCGTTCAAGAAGTTTCTCTGCGAGCAGTACTCACACACTTGCTGGAGGTTCACTCCGAGGAGCCCAGGTTGGCCAGGGAGCATCCTAGCGCGTCCTTCTGGCTCTGACCCCAGAAGCTTCTCTATGTGTCTGATCAGAAATTGCTCTCAGGCAGGAACTGACACCAAGGCTGTCAGGGTCAGGTGGGATGAGTGCTAATAATAATAGCTACCATTGCTTGAGACAGTATGTTCAACACTTTATATGCATTATCTTACTTAATCCTCACAGTAACTTTAATCCCCATTTTACAGATGAGGAAGTGGAAATCTTAGAAGTTTCCTGAAGGTCACATGGTTGACCTCTCTAAAGCGGGAACCTATGCTTTTTAACTTAAAGCATTCTGAGTGGGAGTGTGTTTGTGTGTGTGTGTGTGTGTGTGTGTGTGTGTGTGTGTGTGTGTGTGATAAAATACAAACTAACATCTACCATTGTAACCATTTCAGAGTATACAACTCAAGCATCCCTCAGTGTATTCACAATACTAGATAACCATCACCACTAACCAGTTCCAGAACTTTTCATCCCCCTAAAAGGAAATACTGTACTTACTAAGCATTCAGCCTCCATTCTCCCCTCCCTCTAGCCCTAGGCAGCCACCAGTCTCCTATCTGTCTCTGTGGACCTGCCTCTGCTGTATATGTCATATAAGTGGAATCGTACAATATGTGGCTTTTTGTATCTGGCTTCTTTCACTTAGCATCATGTTTTCAAGGTTCATCCATTTTACAGCATGTGTCAGTACTTCATTTCTTTTTATGGCTGGGTAACATTGTACTGTGCAAATAAACCCCATTTTGTTTACCCATTCATCTGTCAGTGGGCAGGTGCATGTCTTTTCATAGCAAGATAGCCTTTACCCTCATGGAATGAATCTCTAAGGTGGGATTTCAGGCATAACATCAAACAGGAAGGTAAAGGAGTTGAGAGCAGAAGTCTTTCTCAGATCTTTCACGTAACAAATTAGAAATCACATGCTCTCTGACTAGCTCATGGACAGCAGTAAGGCAGGAGGTATAAGGGTACACACTCCACAAACGTGTCAATGTTTCCATACCACTTCTGCTGGAGGGCATTTGGCAGGCTCCTGGGATTGAAGCTTACAGCTCAGGTTTATTTCCTGCCCTCCTCATTTCAGTGGGGGAGGAGGGAAGAATGTGGAGGGGTCTCAAAAGAATATGTAGGTTTCCATACACAGGCTAATGAAAGGACCTGAGATGACCCCCCCCCGGAGAATTTAATCCCCAGTTCCTTCCAGCCACTGTCTGAAGCGGTCGTCCTGGATTCTCTCGATGACACATATATATGCACATAGAATTATACACCTTCTGATAACGCACTGATTTGATCTTCTTCAAGGTAGTTAAATGAGTCCAGTTTGAAAGCATTTGGATGGCCCGAGTTTTCCCTGTAAGCAAAGTACTACAGCGGTTCAGAACAAAGGCTTTAGACCTGCATTCAAATACTGCCTCCACTACCACTACTTCTGTGAATTTAGGCAACTGATACAACCTCAGTTTCTTCACCTGTAACATGAGATGGTAGCTACAGTACCAAACACAATGGATTCTCATGATCATATGTGAAGAACATAACACAGCACCTCAGGAAAGCAATTTTTAATGTATTATTAAATAAAGGTCAATATCATCATTTACTCATATTTTTTGAAAGGATTGGCTAAGGACCAAGACTGGGTTATTTGATGGTTCCGTTCTAACCCATCATCTTACATGCCTATAGATTTTGTCCATTTGCTGTACCCTTTTCATTTTGTTCCAGAAAAGAAAGAATCTACAGTTTTCCCTGTTGAAGACATTTTTATCTTGGTAGCCACCTCAGGACATGGCAGGATGGGCCTGTCCTCTGCAGGGCAGCGGGATGTCTTGGGGGAGGATGGCGGCCCCGCCCTGAGGGCTTGGCTGAGGGGTGGGAACAAAGGGGTATGTGACAGTGACAGGTCATAAAGGACAGCAGAGTATAAATATAGCTGTGCAGGGGGTGTAGGCCAGGAGAGGAGTTACTTCTCTCACCTGGAATGTAGCTCACAGCATCTGAGATTTGTCAGAGGCAGAGGTGAGGTACAGCAGAGCGCGAGCGCACCATACATCTCTACACACTTGAAGAGATTCCAGCTGGGATCCAGCACCTGCTGGCATTCCCACAGCCATCACCTGCACCCCTGCCCCCACCTCTGCCTCTGGGAGGCTCTGAGGCCTGGGGGGGAGATGGGTAATGCAGGGTGGGGTGCTGTTGAGAGACCTGCCGGGGAGCCACCTGTGACCAGGAGCATCCCGGTTCCCTCTTCTGTCAGTGAAGGGAAGACCCAGGGACCTGCCTGCCTCGCCAGCGCTGCTTCCTGTGGTAAAGGAGTCATGAACAGTGAGTCTCTGTTTCCATATTACACAGCCGGGAGGAGCCCCAGGGTGGGGAAACTGCAGCGACAACTGCGCAAGGGGGAATATCACATCTTCAAGTCTGTCCCCATGTTTGAGAGTGACTTTATCCAGATCACCAAATGGAGAGAGCTAATTGATGGCACAACTGTGCCCTGATCATGACCGTGGGCATCACAAACACCAACCCCTTTGACCCAATACCAGACATCATGCTGCTGGCGCAACTGGTCCCTGGTTGTGAAAAGCATGCAGGGTGTGGCCAGGCCACCAAGGGAAAAGGGCACAAAGCTAGAACGACCTTAGAGCTCACGAGGCTCTTCCCCTTGAAGTTGGTAAAGATCTCTGTTCACAACCATGACAAACAACAGCTGCACCTGAAGCTGGCTACTGGCTGTTCCTACTACCTGCAGCTGTGTGCCCCTCCGGACAAGCAGGAAGGCCTCATTGCCCTCCTGAGACCACCGGTGGAAGCTTACAGCTACCCATACCGTTCCAGCCGGGGACATGTTCATGTCAGTATTTGAGGAAGAGGACAGGAGCAGCCCTGAAGCAGCATATTTCCAAGGAACAGAAGGTCAGGGAGGTCAGCATTAGGACCATCAACATCCTGGAGGTGACTGTGGCCGTCTCTGCAGCTTCTGCCGAGGGGCAGAGGACACAACAGGACTTCCACAAACCCATGACCATGCCCAAAGAAGCTGCCCCGGACACCAAACCTACATGGCATGACTGAGAGTCAGCAGCACGGGCAAAAAGAGAGGAGGTGGCAGCAGAGGAGCCAGTAGCAAGGGCCCAGGCTCCTGGAGCAGAAGGGGTGGCAGCAGGCGCCATGGCGGGCGCTTTTAGCATGACCGTCACCAAGTCTGCCTCAGAGCAGTTCAGCACAGCCCTAGCAGGGCAGCCACCGAGTGTCCTGGAGGAAGCGAAACCAACACAGCTATTTCCAGTGCTGCCAACATGTGCCCAGAGAGCATTAAAGTGAGCTTGGAAGGTGCTACAAACAAGGCTCAGAGTGTACTTCCAGCATGTCCGCTATCCTCTCCCCGGAGGACAGTGTGAGGATGGCGACTGCAGGAGCAGCACGGGCCAGCAAGATTGGTGGAGAAGCCATGAAAAGAAGTGGAATGTTAGCTTCTCCGACTTCCACTCGGCCCTCGCCCTTGCGGAGGGAGCAGGCTGGGAGGCAGCCACGCTTCTCTCCAGCCAGCACTGAGGCCCCCAAGGGGAGAAGTAAGTGCAGGGAGGAGAGCGCTCTCCAGGGCTCCCCGCCCCGCAGGGTAGCCGCAGCCACCAGGTAGGTGGGGACAAGATACCCCACAAACCAGGGGACAGGACCCTAGGCAGCCAGAGAGCCCCGAGAGAAAAGAAGGGAGGCCACCACAGCTCAGGGCATAGCAGGCATGTCACCAGCCTCAAGGAGGTCAGCCCTGCTCACACCCTCACTGCTGAGGAGTTCAGAGCCTCTCACAAACTGGGGGGGACAAAAAGTTCAGGGTCCTCGCCTAAAATACACAGCAGTATCGGCTCACTGTTGAACAACATCAAAGCCAGACTGAGTGGCCGCACTGAGCCACAGAGAGGTGGACACCGTGGAGAGGACCTGCATGGAGACATCATAAAGAGGACAGCCAGGGACTGGAGGCGGCTGGGAGCAGACCCAGGGCCAGAAGCCACAAGAAGGACCAGGCCTTGGGAGGGGACCAGGGCTCAGGATGTACCCCTAGGGTATTCTGCTTTCCCCTGCATTTGAAATAAAGAGATAAAAAATACATTGAGAATGTGGCATGCTGACTTCTGTCTGAAATTCTAGGCCTGGCAGCTGAGTAGCGATGACCTCATAGTGGATTCCCGGAGGTCATCCGGGCTGCAGCCTGAGACCCCAGTGCCAGCCAGGGCAGCCCCCACCTCACACCCATGCTCAGCAGAGCCCATAGGATGACTCCAACTTGCTTCAACCCCTTTCGGGCTTTGATCCTCAAGGCCTTGGCTAAAGACTATGGCCTGGGAAGCTCTTCCCCGCCACACACCATCTCCCTATTTTTAAATACATTTCTTCCCTTGAAGGCCCATAAGTAAAGCAAGAACAGGACTCCATCCCCTTGGGCACCAGTGGGGAGGGGGGAGGAGCCCCATCTGCTGGGAACCAGAACTGGGAGGAGTCCTCTTGGCTTAGCGATTCTGGAGACCCCAGGTACACACCCTGGAGAAACACGCGTTCCAAGAAACAGCTATGAGAATGCTGAGAGTAAACACAATAGCAAAACACTGGAAACAGCCCAAATTTCCATCAACAAAATTGATAATACAGGAGGATAGGAATAGAGTGGGATTCGCATAAACTTCTCAAAACAAGCCACAGAAAATGTAATCCCACTGACGGAAGAGGTCATAGACACTGTTCCATTGTTTACATTTTGGAACAGTAAACAGAAAATTTTCTGGGGAGGAGAGGCGAAAGATGGGACCAAGGAGGTAGACACAGGGTGCCAACCTTAAGCAAGGCGCTGGGCACACAGGTGTATTTTTCACATTTTACTGCTTCTGATAGGATGGTCCGACAATCACCGTGGCAGTTGTGATAAGTCGTTTCAGACATACCACAATCAATGACTTCTCATGTGTTAGGTCTGAAAGGTCTGGTCTCTTAAATCACATTTATTTTTGGTACATGATACCAAGAACCTTTGATTATTAGGAAGAGAAGGAATGATATCTCTTCTTTACAGATGAGAACTCTGAGGCTCAGAGATGGTAAACTCCTCCAATCGCCCAGTGGAACCTTTGCGGAACAGTGACCCACAGCCCAACTCTTCCCTGGCAGAGGCGTGGGGAGCAGGCAAAGCAAACAAGTCTGAGACGGTCAGCACGAGGCCTGGAGACACGGGCAGGGCGTTCTTACAGAGCTCCACAGGGATGAGGCCCAAGTTGACGGGATTGAAGGGAGGGAAAAGTGGGGGCTGGGGAAAAGGAGGTGGAGCTGATCAAAGTACAGGCGTCTTCCCACTATGATGACTGCTGGTTGTTAATGAGGTGGCAGGAAGAGAGGCCCAGGGGGATACAAGAAGGAATGTGTTAAGAAATAAAGCAACAGCTTCTAGATGGCTAAAGGGTAAAACAACAGAATGAGGCAGCCAAAGGAGGCTGGAGAGTGTGAATGCTGAACTGAAGGCCCAAACTGAGGAGCTCAAGAATGAGAAACAGCATTTGATATACGTGCTCAACCTTCATCGGCCACGTGTATTCTCTGGGCTCAGATCAGGCCGACTCCAGAAGATGAAAGAAACCTTTTAATTCAACAGATAAAGGAAGGAACATTGCGCAGCTAAGAAACCATGGTATGGGGGCAACTGGAGAGTCCTCACTGAATCCTCCTTTTACATCCAAAACCCTGAAGCCTTTGGAGATCTGACTTCCTGTGCAGTTTAAATCTCAGTGGTAAAGAACCACTGGTGTGGGAGAGCCCTCGATGACTTAGCTGGGCCTGTCCACTCTGCCCCACAGTGGACTTTGGACCAGGGCAAGGGCATCTTTTACCCCAACTCTGGGATGTAGGCCTTATCATACTGGCTGTTCTTGGATTCTCCAGACGGCCCCTGGTTGGGGTCCTGACTGCTTTCTGCTGGATTTTACAAAACCCAAGTCTCCCACCGTTAGGATTCATGCAGAAGTGTCTGTACCTTGGTTGGATGGGTGGGGCCACAACTGTCTTATTGGTCAGTCAGCTCTCACTATAATGCAAGACTTGGTGGGAGCTGATATTTAGTCTTCATCATGTGCCACTTATGGTTCCAGGATCTTAAAGATCATGAGTACCTGGTATAATATTGGCATGGTCCTGCATGAGCCAGGGTATAGGAGGCACCCCATCCATGCCCAGTGACTCCTGGCAAGGCAGTTGCTGGCCACCAGCACTCACATGGACAACACCCCTGGGACACCTGGAGTCCCTGAACCAGTCTGGATGACTCCTTGTGCTGCTGCCCTTTTCCTCCCACTACAATGCCTCCCAGGAGTGGCATGTCTGTGTACCAAGAGGACCTCCTACAGGCAGGTGTGGGAGGCAGGAGTGAATGGTGAAGATGGCACATTCCCCTGGGCTGATGAATAGAATAGCCAGAAACTTTTATGTGATTTGCAACATTAACTGTACTGTTACCTTTCCTGAAAACAGGCAAATATTTAGGGCTAGGGATGTCCCACTATTAAGCTGGCACTGAGAAGGATCAGTCCTAGTTTATAAGCACCCCGAGCACCTCCCAGCTGCCAAGCATGAGTTTCAGGAACATTGAGACCTGCTGTGGTGACTGATGTTTTGAGCTCAATGATGTTTTGAGCCCCTACAGCTTGAAGGCATTGTTCTAGAAGCTTTGAAATTTATTTTTCACCAGTGTTACTAAGCCCTTTAATAGATGAGAAATTGAGGCCTACATAGGCTCAGGACCAAAAAATCTTAAGCAACGGGACAGGTTTCTAGCCTTCCTGTCCCTAAGGATGATCCCTTCCATAATACTACTTTCTGAGAAGCCAGTTTTCAGAGCCAGGAAAATCTGGTTCTGGGCTCAGCACTCAGGCCCACTGCCCCTCTCTTTCCTGCCCCTGGAGAAAGCCAGCTGGAATCCACCTGGCACAGGGAACGAGAGCTTCAGATTTCCAAGCCAGAGGTGCCCTAGAGACACCTGTCAGTGGCCACTACGTGGCGCTGTGGTTCAGGAGACTCCGAGTCATCGCCGACGACCGAGGCCGGGACCCGGACCGTTGGGGGTCGCGACCCAACAGTCAGACCTGCTCCGCGAGGGACCCTACCGGAACATGCGGAAAGCGGTTGGTGGGGGGAGCACTGCCACCCCCCACCGGAATTCCTCTCCCTTCCCTCCTCCTCCCCTGCGCTGGCCTGGAGGCCGCATCAGGGACGCTCGAAGCCATGGCATCTGGGACCGGCAGGACTCGCGGGCACCCTCCTTCCCCCTCGTCTTCTTCCCACCCAGCTGGCCAACCCGTAGTTTAAGCACGCTCACAATCTGAGGATTTTAAATATTGCAACACCAAACATCAAAAGCGATCACTTGCATCAACTATTCTTCAATTTTTAAAACAATGCTTTGAGCCATTGCCAAATGTTTTCAGAAATAACAGGTACATCTAAGAAACAGGGCCCGCCCCCTGCCCCTCAAAAAGAAACACTGATCTCCTGGCTATAGGCACGCCCCTACTTTAAAACTCAGACATCAGATTTTCCTCCTTATATTAAAACTAAGTTACAAATAGGAACTATAGCTTTGTGCCTACTGTCACCTCTCTTCCCAAAGTCCTTCTCCATCATTTAAGAAAAACTTGCACAGGTATGTTTGTGCACATAGGGCTCGGCAAGGCAGAATTATGAGTTCAGATCCTGTATGTACCGTGAAGAATGGTTCCACGAGGCTCCTTGAGCCTCACTTTTCTCATCAACAAAATGGGAATATTGCTAGCACCCACCTCATGGGTTGCTGGAAAAATTCAATACATATAAAGCACTTAGAGTAGTGCTTTGATACATAGCAAGTGCTCAATAAATGTTACTCTTATTACTTTTCCTCCAGTCCTTACTGTGTGTACTTACTGGTGGTGTGCACCAGTCGTTTGGCATTCAATACAAGCAGCCTTTTGTATTCGGCTGCCTTTTCATACAGCTGTACCATGGCCAGAGTGCTTTTCCATACCCCTATGCTCAGAAGCACCCAGCATAGACCCTTACTGGGTGCACAGTCATTAGCGTGGGTCGTGGTGGTCACCATGCATCACAGCCTCTGGCTATGATTCTGCCCGCTTCTTGTCTTTTCCTGGTGGCAGTGTTTGAATAAACCTACTAAGGTAATTGCTGTGTGCCCCCTCCCCTTCTGTTTTGAATGATAAGAGCTTTAGTCTTTTATTCTCTTCTAGACGAGGGAGCCCCTTCTGCTCCCCAGGGCTAGGGCCTGGGGGTCATGCCAAAGCTTGTTTTGTTTCCACTCGGGATTAGAGAGACTGTGTTCCTATGTTCCGGATGATGGTCTGCTTAGGAAGAACCTGGCTCTACAGCCTTAGCCTCCTAGAACCTCGGCCAGGTTACGACAGTGAGGCACCCTTGCCTCTGAGAGGCATGGTCGAATGAG